ATGAATAGTGGCATTATTCTTAAGTATGGAGGAAGAGCAGAGCGCAACAGTTTGAAGTACAAATAGCCAGTAATTATTTACGCAATCTAAGGCCGCATATTAAATCAGTTCACTTTGGTTCCAGAAATCTGCAGCGGGATGCCTGAGTGTTCAAATTCTTGTACTGGCAAGCTTCTTGGACCCCCTGATGCTCTGACAGTTGAAAGAGAAGAATCTTCCTCAATAATTGGCTCTAATCGGGGAGGGTTCAGGTTAGACCTCCAACCTCTTTCTCTTCAACAACTTTTCGGGTCACAGCCGTCGGCCACACCCCAAGCGGCCTATTTTCCTTGTACCAAGGGGTTAAAAGGTAACAGATAAGATATCTTCGAGGACTGAAGCAAAGGGAACTATTCAGTTGTCTACAGAAACCGTAGCAAACTTTGGATCATATTTCTCCAAACATAGACGTCCAAGACTAACCTGATATCCCCTTGGCCCCAGCCACAGCACCCGCGCTTCTCACATCCTCTGGCAGCTCACTCCATTGATTAGCTACCCCAACCGCAAAAGACCTACTTCTGATTTGAGTCAAATTTAACTCTTTCTCCATTTTCGCTGCAAGCCCTCTAATGCACCCCGTCTCTCTGTGACTTCGTGCTTCTGTGAGTTCTAGTATTTTGAAAGCTACTATGAGGTCATCCCTTTTTTTCCTAGAGAAATGAACCCTGGTTTCTCCGACTACTGTTCGTAGCACAGATGTCTGTATTCTGCGAACCATCGCGTGAATCGCCGTTGTAGCTATCCAAGAGCCTTCATATCCTTCGCCATATATAGCCTCCACGCTTGAAAGCTGTTTTCTAGCTGAGCTCTGAAGATAAGCCTCGTACAATTGCAACAAGACCCTCGGTTTCCTAAAGCCGACCGCCCTTCTTAGCTTCTGCAGAACCCTGCGCGCTTTCCTCAACACATTCTGGAGCTGGCGACGTGGCTTGGTGTCAGCGCTTACCATCCCTGGATTTCGCGCGTCCATGGTCCGAGCTGACTCTTTCCAGTTGTCCGGTAGACCCATATATCGGGTGGGCCGTGGTACTTCTACCTAGGTAAGATGTTGGCATTTGCACAGGTTCAGGGGAAGATCCCACGCCATTGACTACTGGTACGCCTTGTCTAAATGACGCTGAACCACCGCGCATCTGGCGCTCCTACCACCTCGAATTCGTCAGTGAACGAAAATCACAGGATTTCCAACCCGTCCGCCAGATCACTTATTTACTTCGTGAAAACAGGGGTCTCTGGGCTGACCCTTGCGAAACTCTATCATGCGGTCCTCCCACTTTCCGACAAACAGCCTTCTACTCTCACTTGGAAGACTCTCGCCTTGGGCCTTGTACAATCCACTTCTGCTTTTTCACCGCGAGTCGAAATGACCCCACCTTCGCTTCGAGCGGTCTGTGGTCAACCGAACAACTGATATCAGCACAGATGGCCACAGGTCCTTGCAGGGGCTGTAGTAATTTATCTGGTAAAGGTATGACAGTGTCTGGGCCTTGTGGCAGGTGATTGTAAAGAGGCTCATCCCAGTACACAGCTGTGCAGTCGAGGACCACTTCTAGCTTCTCTGGTTTCTTCGGGCCCATTAAAGTGTGATTGGGTAAATACCATATTCCACCAATATGACCTTTGCTCTCACGGATTGCACTTGCGCTGCCACCCCTTTCTAAATATTGATGGGCACGAAAAATATATTTTCTTCAGTCCCACATCCTATCTTATTCTTCTTCCTAGTGTTAGCGGGCAACGCAGCCCTGGAGTTCTGTTACGGTAACCCTTCGACTTGTCATCATTCCATTGGAGAATAACACAAAAACGTTCATCCCCGAATTTTCACCCGAGTGACTGCACATCCGTCTTCCACGGATAACGCAATTCCAACAGAGACACTGTGCCTAAAATCCTAATCATATAGTTTTACAAGGTTATGCTTAATCTCATGCGGTCTCGGAAGGAAAGTGCACTTGCATCATCTCGATGAAAGGTGTTCAGTATTCCTCGTTGGACTCAACCCAGATGCGTAGTATCAGCATACGGATGCCGCTGTTCAGGAACCCAGTGTGCACTCGAGGTACGTAGCTAAAGAAACTGACGATCGACCCAGGTATAACAGTCAAATCAATACCTTTCACACGGTCCCACCGTGGAAGAGTTTCTGGGTCTGGAATCAATGCTGCTACCTGCATAACAGAAGGTACTGTATACGTCCACTTTCTTTCGGTTACTTCCTCATCATTAATAGGTTTAGAACGGTATGAAAGGTGGCACACTGTCGAAGTGTGCTACCTGTGGGAATGTTCAACTGCACCCTTGCCTTGTTGCCAACCAAACCCAAATTATGGGCCTAATAAACCCGAGCAAAAGAGCTATCAGCTTCTATGTCGGGCAGTACAATACCCAAGACAGTTTCCTTCGGTCCCTCCATGGTGGCGGGCACAAAGCCTAAGCTTACTGCTTGACCATTTAAGCACGACTGACTGGAAGCAGTGAGGACCAGCTTCCCGGTTGTGTTGTGCAACAGGCGACGATGTCACTGCGTACTACGCCCTTCACCACGGCTTTTCTGAACGGAACAGTACTAAGTACGATGACTCGAGCAGAGACACAAAGCAGTAACGATATTCCTTCTTCCTTGAGAATCACTCTCGGGAAGTGTGGGCAGCCCGTGAGGCTGCGTCCACCTCAACATCTGGGGCAGATGCTGTCATCCGTAAACAAAACACAAAGCTTCTCTAGCATTTAAACAATCTCCGGAGTGATGGTTCGCTATCATCCTGCAGCTTCAAACTAAGCAGCTATTGCGGTTTTGTTAAAATAAAGCTTGGAGACTGAGAAAATTACGTGAGTCAAGAACAGTCGGTTCGCGATTACCGTCACAAGTTTCTCGGGCACACAAAACCCAATCCACAGCGATGAGATGCGGAAACTTTCTGTGAACCTTCCCTACCAGAGTAAATGGATCAAGGTCACCTGAAAACCTTAACTGTCTCAGGCGGCAAAAAGAAATGTTCCAGCCAAACCGCAAACCAAAGGAAAATAAAGAGGTGATTGACAGAGAGCACAGCGAGGTAAAACTGGGAGTTATGATGCCTGACCTCGTTTAAAGTTTTTGATTAGGCGGATAAATCAAACAGAAACAAATATAGGGGGAAAATATCATAAATGTGCATTTGAACGAATGCCTTGCACAAAACCCCTCCAGAAGGAACCGCTAGTTAGGGAGCTTCAGCAAACTCACAGACACCAAAGTTTTCATGAAAACGAAAAGTACCTATAATTATTAACTATAGCTTTCGCATTGCTGCTTAAAACCGGATAATTTGGCACTTTTTCAAATACTTTCATTCACCGAGATTTTTCAGAATCTGAGACCTAAATATGCTATACGACGACGGATCAGATGATGCGAATCGCAGGAAGTCTGCAAGCGGACTCCGCTTAGTTGTCCTAGAAGGTGGTTCGGGTACTCCTAGAAGGGCAGCGGGTTACTAAACTTTATCATCAGAATAGTTTTTCATCCCGTCAATAGTGCGACGGACTTTTCTTTTTATTAATCCTGCTTTATCAGATGGAAATGGTGTTCATAACTTTACCTTATTACCATATTCAATCAAAATATGAAATGCACCCCGGAGAAATAACTATAAGTTGTCATTCATCCATCGATAAACTTGATTTGTGGGCAACTTGTACAGACCAGACTGTTGTCTATATAGAATCGAGATGATAAGGCAGAAAGATCTTGGCCTAGGCTAATTGTTCTACGATTTGCTTACTGGCAAGCGCAAAAGTAGTCCGGCTCCGAATTTGGTTCAAATGCGACTTGACTTTGAAGTGTTTTTACTACTCGAAGAACCGGATATTTCCAAAGGGATTATTTTTTATGGCAGGAAGGCCGACTAAGATGCCAGAATCTAATTTAAAATTATGTCACGCCTCCATACCCATGTCTATCAGAAATGTGCACCACATTTACCAAAAGTAGTTACCAAGGTTTTGATAAAGTAAACATGAGAACGAGTTGTTCATACAGTTCAGGGTGGCATGTATGGATCGATAAGACCTACATTTATAGCAGCAGTCGATTTTAGCAGCCTATAAAAAAACACCTACTATATCTTACAAAGGAGTCGAGCACTTGATAGCCTGACTGGCTTTCGCTTAGTTGGTAATACAGTTGTGGTTCATTCGTTTTTCGTCCTCTCAATTCAAATCACAATGTGCAAAGTCTTTCAGTGACATAAGTGCCCTTCGGCTCACCCAATGTAGGTGGCTGTTTAACGTGGTTAAAATAGAGATCACGAAGAGACGGAACGATCTGAACAACAACAACAATTACAACAAGAGAGGCAGTTTGACAAACGGAAACACACAGGCAGGGTCGTCGGATGTCTGCCGGATGCTGCTCTCTCCCGTGGTGGTTGTAAGTACCACATCTGCAAAGGGAAGGAAAAAGTAAAACCCAAGGAGCCGAAGCTCGTGAAGTGAATAATCAGTTATCAACATTTGCATAAGAGTACACGGGAATGGCAGTCTATGCTAACGCGTTACAGCTGAGGACCCCTATCAACCAAACTTGATTCGGCGTGAAGTGCGGGGCATTTTCAAAATGTTAAGCCTTTTGTAAGACGAGGATATCCAGAACAGTCATTTGCCTGGCATGAGTATTACCGCTCGAGCCAGGAGTTTTCTCCTGAAAGCTACAATCAGCACGGTGCCAAATATTGGTATAACATATCGAACTACTGAGTGTTGAATTACCACGTCTATCGTTAATATTCCCGTCAAACCTAAAGTTCCACCTCCTCAAATAAAGTATCGACAAGTTATTACTGTTGCCTTGGTCAGTCAGTCGGACCGTATTCTCGCGGATATTTCTGTTGTTCAGTTCTAGAACGAGTTAAGGAGTAGAATATCCGACACCATAATCTATCATCATCATGCGTATGTTAATTTCGTTACCACAGGAAACAAAGAAGCAACCGAGGGACTGTTCAGTAATCTGCCCCCAAATGGAAAGATGACAATCTCCAACCGGTATAGTGGTGCCGTTGGGGTATCTCAGCGTAGGATCTGCGTTCATTTGTTGTCCGAGGAAGTAATCTTGGTACCCATTTTCTCTGAGGGAGTCGCCGACAGATTCCAGCGCTTTGGTAAGTTTGTCCTTGGAAAACACTGAGCGCGCTGAGTAGGTCGGGCTATGTACCAGGTTTCATTTTTGCTGCATGGGAACGGAGCATTTGAAATGGTCAGGTTGCCTTATTACGCTAGCTTATAATTAGTGCAGCATTCCACTGATTATTTTGCTGTTTGTCGTGGGAGGAGATCAAGAAATGGAAGCGCACCACCCTGTGCCACCTCTAGGGCAAGTTTTGAAATTTGCTTTGGTTCATCGAACCTTTGCAGTAATTCTCGGACGTCGCAGCTGGAGGGGACTAAACAAAAAGTGTCCTCCGCGTACCTTTTAAAAGTAGGCAATCTGGCGGAAACTCGAGTAGGAGTGTGATCTACCAGCCTTCTTGTTCTCATAGGCCACTGCGAATACCTTTTTGGTTAGAGTACTCTTACAGAACAGAGCATTAGAGTAACGTGCAGGTGGCCGGAGGAGTACGAAGGACCGAAGAACACGTTTACCTGGTAAACCGTGAAGTAAGTTTTAGAAATCTTACAACCTCATAGTTCGCCAAAGTCGTCAATAAAGCTGAGGAAGACAAAGGACCTGGTGTTTTGGCCGTACAGAACTGGCTACTCGAATGCCCAAGCAGCAAAGCCCAGAAAGCTGCTAATTTAGCTCGCTTTGAGCCACATCGAACCTCTTTAGAAAAGTTTGGCAGCGCTATCTGCGCCCCAATAAGTAGCGCGCTTGGCTAGCTCAACTTTTGAGAAAAAGCTGGGAAGGGATACACTTTCTTTTCCTAATCCATCCTAACTGTCTGCTTCTCAGTCTATTTACGCATAACTCATTCCTTCAATCGAACCACTTACTTACCTCTGATAAAGACAAAGATAAATGGTACACCGAAAAACAATAGAACAAAATGCTTTTTTGTAACGTGGGTATATTTCCATTAATAATGCGGCGCTTTGTTCAATTGCATCTCTTGCAAAATTTCACGACTTAGTGCGCTATTTTTGAAGGCACATTTTAAGGGAAAGTATAGCCCAAAGTTAGCCCAACGTTCGCCTAATAGCGTTGGATATTTTGCTGCTTGGTTGGGACCTTCTGCTAAACCTCATCAGATGCTAGCATCTAACCACAATTGAGGTGGTCAGCAGGAATGGTGTAGGATCATTGTAGCTAGCCTCTCAAGCCAAGAGCTCGGGCGTAGTGCTAGATATCAGTCTCTGGCCTTCGGAGCAGTTCTCCGCAGGAGCAAATATGGCCCGGAGGGAACTCCATGGAATTGGAACTACCACCTCTTGTAGAGGGACGGAAACTTGTTCCCCCATCTAAGGAACCACTGTTGTGCCGCACATAGAATATGGCTTGCTAGCCGGGGCACGGCACTGCCAGAAGGATATAAACTGTCTGTAGAAGGTGCAGAGGTTAGCTACCAGAATGGTGGCTGGACATGAGGGGGGGAGAAGTAACAACGCAGGGGGTCTGCGGGCTCCGGATCTGTTCGTGATAAAGAAGAGGAGCTTCTGCGTAGATTCGATAGAACCCAAGTTAAGAAGGGGACTGCCATGCATAGTCCAAAAGACCTTCCTTTTTCTATCCTATTAAGGCGCACATGAGGTATAGCGTTGGACTGCAGAGAGCACCCAAGGCTAAGAATTACGGCGCGTTGCTTCTCAAATAGTGATGATCTTTTTGGATAAACTCCCGGAGGAAGGCGTGAATTACACAGCACGGAAGGCTTGTAAGAAGGCAGTAGGCCGGCTAGGGGGGGTGTAAGGAAGAAACTACAAAAGATGTCTGCCTTTAGAGAAAATGCCACGCATTATCGGGAGCTGTGAAAAAGATCGACAAACAAACTACCTGGGAAAACCATTAGCACGAGAAACGCAAGGTCCTATGCAAATCGAAATGAAATGAAATGAACTGAGCACCAAACACCAGGAAAGCTACGATGACGTCGGTTGGTTTGCTAACCGTATACACCGCATGGTACAGCGCTGTTTCCGCAAGGGATGTGAAGGTTAGCAGGGCATTTCCCGCACGGCGAGCGACCCCTTCCTAGAACAAATTCTCCGTTAGGCTTTTAGTACAAATGGGGAAGTCATCTAGTCACCTTGCACAGCTTAGCTGCTATATACGTACGGGTATTGGGAGATTCAAGTTTCACATGAATTTGCTCACCTTTAGGCAAAATGGGTTTAAATCATTAAAGATCATGGAGTCGTTGTGCGGCCGCTTGATGTTTTTTAGGAATACTGATCAGTGGAAGTCCACTGAGCCCCTGCTCAGTTCAGTTTGGTTCGGTTTGCACGGGGTAAGTAATGGTCACCGCCAGCCGAGCGGCCAGGGTGCCTTCGACGGTACGCAAACTAGATAGGCAACTACCGCTGCGCACTCAATTTCTTTGAACCACCGCTAAAAATATAAGGGAAACGTAAACCTTCATCGTACACCGACTGCTACAGTCATTAAGCATTGTGAACGTTGACTAAGTCATTGAGTAGCAAAAGAAAACGTTTATTAATTAGAGATATCACATCCGTCTGCCTAGCTTCATGTTCACCATTCACAGCCAGAAATGATCTCATTCCACTAACGTGATCCAGGGCCCCCTGAATGAGTGGACCGTCCCCGGGTTTATGACCTCTTCTGGCAGTCTATTTCAGTAGGTAACCACCCTATGGCTGGAGAAGTGGGATATAGCTATCAGCCTAGGCCGAACTTCCGCCAGCTCCTTCCCATGTCCCCCTGTTCTGGAGTCTTTGGCCATATGAAATGGACTCTCCGGTCTGAGCCCAGTGAAGCCTTTGACTACCTTAAAAGTCTCTATGACGCCCCCTCGTAGTCCCCTCATTTTCATAGATAAATGTCCGAGGTCCCGGAGTCTCTGACCTTCAGCCATGTGCGTTGCAAGAAGTTGTACGTTCTCCAAACAGATGGCATCCTTTCTGTAGAAGGGTAACCACGCCTAAACGCAGTTTTCCAAGAGATGTCCAATTAAAGACGTGTGTACTGGCATAAATAACTTTGACTGTTCGCACGAAAACGCTGATTTCAACCAGGAGAGCCCACCGCCTGTTTTTTTCTATGACTGCTGCACACTGATCCGCTTAAGGTCAGAAGTCACAAAAATGCCAAGACCTTTCATCCTGTTTACTGCCTCCATAGTAAATGGGCCTTGGTCGTGTGCAACCATCAGGCTTGTCAATATCCGCGACAAAGAGTGGCTCCTCACAGCACCGAGATGTGAGCCCCACTTCTGCGCTCAGTTGGGAACGGCATTACGTCTGTGCTCAGCTCCTTCCCCCCCTGGGCTCCTACTGACTTCAGATTATCTGCAGGGAAGAAGCTTGGAGAGAGTAGAACCGAGGCTAAATCATTAGTAAACAGAAGAAACAGAAGTAGGCCTGGTGTAACACACGTTTGAGCAATGCGCAGCCAAATTTACTACGGACCCCGAAATCAAAAGGCGATTATTCGTGAGATTCTACGATACTAGATTATTGGATGAATAATGACACCGAATAGATACAAACCTCAGTTATGACATCCCAAGGACTCAACAAAAAAAGAACCAAATTGCGGCTTGCGAGCGAGGACCACGTGCGTCACGCAGGTCCAGAACAAGGATGTGATAAAGTAGCGCTCTGGGCGCGAACAAACAACAATTGGTCCATAAAAATAAACAATGCGTAAAGGCACGTCGATCGTGTAGGTAAGTGAGTGATGTTAAGAAAAACACGGAACTTCAAGGGTTTTGATGAGATTTTCCAAGACCGGTCGTTACACCTGGTACGGAACCCTGGGGTACTCCACTGATGATGCTCCTTAATTCAGATTTATTTTCACCAACTCCAACGTAGGAAGTTCTACTGGTGAGGAACTCCCTCACCCATTCATGAATCTGCTCAATTATACCAAATTACCTCAACGTGATGAGCAAAAACCGATGGTTTATCGAGCCAAATACCTAAATGATGGACTGCTGCGTGTGGATGGTAGGCTGAACAACGCCCACCTGAGCTTCGACACAAAGTATCCTATACTGCTGCCTGCGAGACAACCTGTAGTAAAGTTAATGATTCAACACGTCCATGCCGTGGAGGGACATGCCGGGGAAAGTCACGTGACGAGCGTCATCCGAAAGCGCCTTTGTTTGTTGAGAGGACGAGAGACTGTAAAACGCGTAATCCGACGGTGTGTACAATGTAGGAGACGCAATGCCACGGCGGGCAAACAACCCATGGCCTCACTACAAGAATGCAGGGTGACTACGGGCTGGTGGCCGTTCAGTGACACCGGGTTAGACTATTTCGGGCCCTTGTGGATTAAGTGCGGGAAAAGATTAGAAAAGCTATATGGATGTATCATGACGTGCATGAAGTCACGTGCGGTACACCTAGAAGTCGCACATTCGATGACGACCGATTCTTTCCTACGGGCCTTGCAGAGATTTATCAAACGATGAGGCGTACCGGCCGATATATACTAAGATAATGGATCGAACTTTGTGGGCGCTCTTCGGGAATTGCAGCATTGGCACAAGAGCATAAACAGGGACGAACTGCAGGATCGAACCGTGGTCTATGGTATACGATGGCATTTCAACCTCCCACAGGCCAGCCACCGAGGCGGCATATGGGAACGCATGATCCGGTCCGCCAGACGGATATTGCTGTCAATCATGGAGCAGCAGCCGCCCGACGACGAGACGCTGAACACCGTCATGACTGAGGTGGAGAGAATCCTGAACAACCGTCCCCTGGTTCCAGTAATGAACGGTAACCCCACCTATCTGGCGCTCACCCCGAACGGCTTATTGACGTTACGGTGGAACGAGGGGTTTCAAGGGCCGGTAAACCTTCGCGGGAACTACCTCCACGGATGGAAGCAAGCGAACTATCTGGCCAAGGTCTTCTGGAGGCGATGGCTACGGGAGTGCCTACCGGCTTTGCAGACTCGACAGAAGTGGCTGGCCAAAACAAGACCATTCAAAGTTGGGGATGTGGTTATGATCACCGACGAACGCGC